TCCACAGGATCTGTCGTCCGTATCTGCGATCGAGAAAAAAAATAACCAGCACAGTATGATGGGAAGACCAATACCAGTGCAAGTACCAATGCAAGCTGCCGCCGAGGATGAGCATCGATGGCGTATATAGACATTGTCATCGCCAGCAATGCTTGCACAGCATATACGAAGCTTGTTGACGCGGTAATTCTGCGATATCTGTCTGAAGTTGAAGTGGTCTACCAGAGCAAAAGGTCGTTTTTGATGTACACCACGTTAATTGAATGTACATATCGCGTGTCAGTTGATCCTCCCAAATCCGATCCAGCATTAACGCCCACTCACAAAATGGCGCTGGAACTAGCGAAGACCGCAGAGGTATACCGCCGCCTTCATCGCTCTCTCACTGCTTCCTGCCGTTGCTAACGAAGCCTACGTTCCTTCTAGATATCGATCGCTGACTTCTTCGCGCGCGACGATGCGCTGTCACGTCTGGATCGGCTGCACCGCCGCACGCTTGAGGCCGTTGAGAATGTTCTCAAGCCCCCGCGGCCGCAGGAATTCACTCACAGTGTGCTAGACCTGGCAGTGCAGAAAGTAGTAGAAAAGCTGTCCTGGAAACTCATGACGGAGGCTCACGCCACGCCCAGTAGCGTAGGCGTCCCAGCGCTACTGGACCTTTGTATCGCAGGCGTGACCAGTGGATTCCTGGTCAACAGCACACCGTACAAAGTGCTAGAAGATCTAATGGAAGGGCAGACCATCAATACGTGTGAGAAGGTGTGGGAACTGCTCGAATCTCGCAAGGACAAGCTCACAACGGTGCGTTTCCACCTACTTTGACTGCTGCAAGGATGACACAAACTGACGTACAGTGCTTGGCCAAGAAGCCCGCTTTCATTGCTGAAAAAGGTCGTACTACCAAGGCCTCTCTGTGTCTACTGCGGATGTGCAATGCGCTGCTGCGTCGCTTGTCCAAGACCCACAACAGCGTGTTCTGCGGCAAGATCCTCGTGTTCTTGTCGTTTACCTTTGCGTTGTCCGAGCGCTCGGCGGTGAACCTTACAGGCAAAGCCAATGTGACTAATGTGACGGTGTTCGAAGATCAAGACGCGTTTGACTTGGCTGAGGCGACGGATGTCGCCAAGGCATCCGAAGTTGTGCCTGGACTGGAGGTGCGTGGCTCCTTTCAGTTGTCTGAAGATTGGTATTGTGCTCATAGTGATCGGGTTATTGTAGATTGACAGTGATCCAAGTGCTGACGTCGGCCCGATCGACTACAACCTGTATCGCACCTTTTGGGACTTACAGAGCTTCTTCCGCGAGCATCAGATGGCCACGCAATCGGCGGAGAACTGGGAGAAGTTTGTACGTAAAGTGGCTTACTGGTTGCTTATCCGGAAAACCGTGATTCATTTTTTTTTTTTTTGTTAAATTATTTGACACAGTTCACGGAGCTGAATGTGGTGCTGGCAGCTTTTGAAGGCAACGCATTCTCACCAGATGACCTGGAGCGTTCACGAGACTTAAGCGGAGGCCCCATCCACTCGGCAGATGTGACCATGCACGAACCTGACGGTGATTCCAGCAAAAGCGCAACAGAACAGAACTCCCAGGAACACTTTTTCCAGCCCAAATACCTGACCAACAGTCGTCTCTTCAGACTGCAGTTGCGCGATCCGATTCTGCGCGAGTGCATGCTCACTCAGTTCCTCATTCTGTTTAACGACTTGACAAGAGCCAAGCCTCCTGCAGGCAGCACCACTCCCAAGGCGAAGTTCGCTGAATTGACGGAGCGTGTAGTGGCGTTGCTGAAGCAAACACCATCAGATGGAGAAGGCTTCAACGAGATGGTGTCGGTCGTTCTGGAACGCGAGCGCAATTGGGTCAAGTGGAAGCAGGAGAAATGTCCGGAATACGAAAAGTATCCGTCGGCGGCGGATAAAGAATCTTCGACTTCTTCCAAGCCAGTGGTGAAACGTGCTCGACGTCAATTAACCTCGCCGCTTCTGGAGCAGATTCTGTCCGAGAGCTCGAAGCCATCCCAAATCTTGGAGAAAATTAAAGGCAAAGAACGAGGTGCGTATTGGAACGTGTCAATGCGTGCTCTGTGACGTGTTTTCAGTGGATGTTAGCAGTCTCATCTAATGTTTAATTTGTCGTGTTAAATTAGCTACCGAGGTGTCTTTGACAGCGTACACTGACCGCTTCAAAGAGGCGTGGGATCCCGAGAATGGTATCGAAGAGGAGTATTGGCCGGACAAGGATGAGATGGTTTGCTGGCGAACGATGCGTGCTGCGATGAAAGAAAGTGTGGGCCATTTGGACTTGGCGGTCAAGGGTACGGGAACGCTGGTTAAAGGTATCCTTGGACTTGATACCAGCGAGGCGATCAAAGAGTCTACGGATGCTGCAGCCTCAACGCCCAAGGACGGTGGTGATCACGTGAAAGAAGAACAAAACGATGAGAAGGAGACTGACCGTGATGCACCTACGGACATTTCGACCGGGATGAAACGAGAGCGAAGCGGCTCCCCGAAGAACGTACCAGTTAAACGTGAGCGAACGGGACGTGCTCGAGGCCGTGACGACGACGTCGAGGTACGATTACGATGCGGTTATACAGCAGGATGATGTTTGCATCTAATCCGATGTTTTAATACTTTGTCTTGTTTACTGCAGGACGGAGAAGAAGCATAAGTGTCAAAAGTGCATTAGAATTGCGGACCCTGGGTCATTCTGAAAACAGCGAGGTGTTTATTTCTCCAAATACCACAGATTTCAACAACCAGTTCTGTGTGACATGGAGTATTGATCGTGGTGGAGTGGTGACGATTTTGACTACCAGTGGTGGCGATTTCGAGTAAGCTAACCTCGCGTCCAGTGTACGCAAGGACAATGTAAGCACATCCTGTTGGAAAATACGTCTGACTGCAGTGTGGAGCACTTTGACCACAAAATTCCTAATGTGAGCAATTCGTTATCGTAGGGGACGGCAACAAGTATGGCGTTGTGCGTTTATCTTCGCGAGACGACATTGCATGGCACGCGCATATGAATGAGCTAACAGGAATTTGGTGAAATGGTGGATAGGGATCCTCAAGTGTGGGCGTCGTTAACTTTTCCAGACGCCTCGCTACAAGGGTTGCTACACCTGATACCAATCCCTTTGTGGATACATGTAGTGCGAGGGCACAAAGGCCACACAATCTCAGTGAGACTCTCACACAGCAGAGTCAACACATCAGGGTGTTACAGTCATTCACAGTTATTCGGAAGAGCTTAAAACACGAGTTGAACGGTTCAACTGATATCTTCTTGACGCGATGAGGCAGTGGCGCAGGTTGCAGACTCGAAAGCATTTGCAATAAACAGGAATCCCGATCCCAACGTGGAAACACTATGCAGCAACAGCTTCTCGCGTGCAACGACAAGTGGCAAACCTTCATGCTACATTGAAAACCTCGAGGCCAACCCACCGTCGACTTCTTGGAGCAAGTCAAGTTGTGACGCCGTTTGGCAAAAATGTACCCAATTCCAAATCAACCCAAGTCTGCAACCTGGGTTGACAGAAGATCGCGAAGGTCATCAACCATAGCTAACAGCACTTCATTCCCACTTTTGCGCTACAAGCATCAGCTCCACCTTCCACTCCAAGTCTCAAATGCTAAGCATGACCAACCACAGTGACGGCGGCCCCCGCGTGGTCCGTCTACCGCCTTACAAGTACGTGCACGTGCTGGACACCAACTCCAACGTGTCACGCGTGCTAGCAGGCCCGCTGACGTACACTCGCCAGGAGCACGAGCACGTCATGACGCCTCCTCAGAACATGATCGTGCTGCCAGCGCAGCATTACGTTGAAGTGCATAACCCGGTCGTACGTTCGGAAGACGGCAAGATCGTCCGTGATGCATTCGATCAGGCCAAGCTTAAGCACGGCGAGATCGAGTTTCGCATCTTCGATAAGTACCCCGAACCTTTCCCCCTGTATCCGGGTGAAGAGCAGGTTGGCGAGATCCGTGAGCTGCGTGTCGTGCCTGTAGACACGGCACTACGCATCCGAGCGACACGCAAAACCGACAAACACGTGGCTGGGGACGAATGGCTCTTCGTTGGGCCGGCAACGTATTACCCACGCGTGGAGGAGGAGATCGTGACTGTTGTGCACGCCATTGTGGTCAAGAAGAACCAAGCCATCAAGTTTCGAGCGGAGAAGAAGTGCACAGACTCGCAAGACATCGAACGAGATGCAGGAGAGGAGTGGCTAGTCCGCACACCGGGTGCGTATCTCCCTCAGATCGATGAGGTGCACGTCGAGACTCTGCAAGCGCATGTGTTGACACAAGACATGGCGCTGCATTTGCGCGCGTTGCGTACGTTCAAGGACGTGTATGGCATCTCGCGTCGTGCGGGCGAAGAGTGGCTTATCACGACAGAGACCACCGAAACGCACGTCCAAGACGTTCATGAAGAGATCATCGGCTATGTGAACGCCACAATTCTCACCAATCGCCAGTACTGCATCGTCGTAGACCCAGTGGTGAACGGAGTGCAACATCGTGGCACACGTGAGCTGCGGAAGGGCGAAGCTTCCTTCTTCTTGCAACCTCACGAGCAGCTGGAAAATGGTCGCGTCGAAGATATCATCGTATTAGCCGACGACGAGGCAGTTTTACTGCAAGCTGTTGAGTCGTTTGTGGAGCATTCGGACCAAGAAGAAGGCGAACCGGAAGGAGAAGACAGTGGATCGTCCACTAAGAAGAAACGTAGCGGTGCTCGACGCGAGGCTGGAGAGCGTTGGATGGTGCATGGGCCTCGGGAATACATCCCACCGATCCAAGTCACAGTATTGGAGACCCGCCGTGCTATTCCACTTGACGTCAATGAAGGAGTGTATGTACGCGAACGTAAAACTGGTCATGTCCGAGCTGTGAAAGGCGAGACGTACATGCTGCAAGCCACAGAGGAACTGTGGAGCAAATACTTGTCGCCAGCTGTGGAAGAGCTGCTGTCGTCTCAAGTTGGAGGCTCTGCGTACGTCGTTGACCCGACTCAGTCGAATAAACTGACTGCGAGTCTAGGTAAACCATGGGATACCTCCAAGGGCGCTCCACGTAAGCGTGATCCTACTCGCGTAGTGACATTCGAGGTGCCACACAATGCTGGTATCCAAGTGTACGACTACAAGACCACGTCGTCGCGTATTTTATTCGGTCCGACACTTGTAATGCTCGAGCCGGATGAGCAATTCACAGTGCTTCGACTATCAGGTGGAGTTCCGAAGGAGCCAAACGTGATCCGAACGTTGTGTCTGCAGCTCGGGCCCGACTTCATGCGAGACCAGATCATTGTCGAGACGTCAGACCACGCTCGACTATCGCTGACTATTGCCTACAATTGGCGATTCCGAGTCGATTCATCCAAACCTGCTGATGCTGCCAAGGTATTTAACGTCAAGGATTTCACTGGAGACGCCTGTAAGACGCTGGCCTCACGAATCCGTGGAGCTGTGGCAGTCCAGAACTTCGATCATTTCCATAAACACAGCGCACAGATCATCCGAACATCCATTTTCGGCTTGGATGAGAACAATAAACTACGCGACGAGTTGATCTTCCCCGCGAACAATCTTTGCATTACCAACGTCGATATCCAGTCGGCCGAGCCAGTTGATCAACTCACGCGTGAAAGTCTCCAGAAGTCTGTGCAGTTGGCTATCGAGATCACGACCAAATCACAGGAAGCGCGTGCCAAAGCCATCGCTATGAAGGAGGAGGAAGCTGCCAAGGGGGAGCTGCTAACGCAACAGCTCGAGAACCAGTCGAGTGCCGAGCAAGCGCGCAAGAATCTTGTGCAACTCACAGCTGAGTGTAAAGCTGTAGAAGAAGAAGCCGCCGCTGTGAGTCGTGCACGCGCTCAAGCTCAAGCAGCGGAGATTGAGGGCCAGGCTGCCGTCAGGCAAGCGGAGCTGCGAGCCAAAGCCGAGCGCATCGAACACGAGGCGCACGTGGCTCGCATCAAGGAGGACCAGACGCTGAACGTAGCGCACGCTGAACGACTCGCTGAGGTGGAAGTCCGCAAGAAGCGCGAGCTCATGGCCATTGAGGCGGAGAAGTTCCAGCAAATGGTGAGCAGCGTGGGGCAGGAGACTCTCGTGGCGCTGGCGCGTGCAGGCCCCGACGGACAAGTGAAGATGCTGGAGGCGCTTGGGCTCAGTGGCTACCTTATCACGGACGGCAAGTCGCCTGTAAACCTGCTGGGCACGGCTGAAGGAATCATTCGAGGCATCGCGCAGTCGGAGCAGTGACCGCCACCCGATCAAAATGCGCCACGTACTTGAACTGAGATGGGCGCGAACTGGCTTTGCGATCTTCGTGCGACAGTTTTATGGGTACTTTTCGCGCCAAAAAAGCTCAAATTCGCGCGCTCAAGTTGTCAGCGTGTCGATGGAGAAGCGTTCGAACTGGTAGCTCCTTGATCATCGTTGCAAGGTAGTTTGTTTGCTTTATGCGTTGCTTCACGCAATAATAATTAAGAATTGTATTTCGAAATGAACCAGCGATCCTTGAGAGCTGTGTGAGAGGTTTTTCAACACTGTGTTGCAGATACACGCATTAATGCTATACTTGCCAGCTCTGACTAACCGCGATGTGGCTAACATGATCGGCGTGGTTCGAAGCCGTCTCCACCTGAAGTCTAACGATACTCTGGCAGAACTCCTGTAAGTGCTTCAACGGGTGAGGCAGCTACAGAATGAAGCGATCATAACTCCCAAGTACATGGAGACGCAGAGAGCTCACCAACAGTATATGTATATTCCTCGTGCGCCGCCTGCAACTCCGAACGATCACCTTGCAGAACACGATATCCACCCTGGCGTCTTGCAGATTTTTTGCTGAATGACTCGGGTCCGGCGTTGCGAACGAAACTGCACTTTATAGCCTGTTCTCCGCATACAGATCTCGGTATGTTAAACGGCGAGTGACACGCTGGGGAGCTCGCCACGCATTAACCGGCGCTTTCTCGCCCTCAGTAGGCTCGGCAAGCACATCCTCGGATCATCAGATGGCTTCATGTGAGCTTGGCACCTCTCCCAAATCCGCCAATCAGATCACGGAGAACTTCGAAAATCAATTTTTCAGCCAATCCACGTGCACTCCATTTTATACCCGGCGGGTTCGGTGGCCAGGCAGTCTCCCATTCATCGCCATCTCACTGCTCAGCTCGGCCGTGAGGGAAGTGCTTCGCGTCAGCCTCTCTCGCTGTGTCTGCGCGCCTTCACTCTCGACACCGAACAGCGCGGTTCCAAGTACTGTCGTCTGCGTATCGTCCACTGCGAGTGCGACGCTCGGAATCAGCGTAGATCCTCCGTCGCAGCCCTTTCAGTGGCCGCACTTGCGTCGTACTGGCGTCTCGCGTTCTTCAGCCCGCTGCTGCCGCACAGACATTCCAACTAACAAAATCTCAAGTTTCTGAGCCTGATCACTTCGCTCTGAAGTCTCTGCACCGTCAAAAATGACCGACAACTGGCGGCTGGACGTTAAGTTCCAAGGCCGCTCCATCGACCTGGTTGGTCGACTTCCAGCCGAGAAACGCTCGCTGCTGCGGGACTTCCCACGTCGTCTGGCCGTTGGAACCAAAGCCAAACTGTCTGCCATCCCACAGAAGGGATTCTTCTGCAAATTCTTCGCCAAGAACTGCGAGGAGATGAAAGTTTACATGAAGAAACACGAGTGCGCGCTATGCGTGCAGTTCGTGGCGTCCACATTCAACTTCACACTATATCTGCTGGTTCCAGTGGTACTAAAAGGTCTCAAGTGTCTGCATCGACTACGAAAAAGCGGTATGTTGCAGCTAGAATGGAGGAATACCGATACTATGGAGTTTTATGGATGAATACTGATGAGATTTTTTTTGTATGTTACAGGAGCGAGTGCAGACTCTCTCAAGTCGTTGTGCACAGATAGAGATGGCGTGGTAATTGGATTTATAGTGTCGGAGGTGAATGTGGAGATGGAGGAAAAGCTGCACGAGCGTATGAAAGTCATGAAAGAGTTAGAATCCACAGCTAAAGCGATTTCGGACACATTTGGCGATCCGATGCTTGAGTTTGACTTGCTTTTGGACCAGTTGGATACCAAACCATCGGCGATTCAGGTGCGTTTTTTTGTATTTGAGTGACGATGGGATTGTCGACGATCGCAATAATTAACGGTTGTGATTAATGTGTGTGGTTATTAGGCTTGTTCCAACTTTATAGTTCGTCATCAGCATTTGCATGACGCTATTTGCCAGAAATTGGCTCATACGATGGATGCCATGCAAAATTCGAAAGCACGAGCGAGTATTGTGTACGTTGTGCACGATGTAGTCAAGTCAGTGCGTGCGAATTTTCCGCAAAAGGAGCGAAATGTCAAGATGCGCGAGTCGGCATTGGTGTTATCGCTCGAAAAGATCCTGTTCCAGTTGGCGCAAAAACTACAAGACGACGCGAAGCACAATGTACGTTTGAGCTTGATAATTTATAACATAATGCATGGCATTGACGAGGTGTTTTGTGTATGTTTTGCAGCCGAATGTTCGAGCAGTATTTGAGTTCTGGACCAAATGGGGATTGCAGTACTCGGCACCCGTAGAAGACGAGGATGCGTCAAAAGACGATCCTATTCTCAAGATTGATGAAGCATTCGAGATGCTGGAGCGAGAGGTATCACTAGTGTCCGATGCTTCCTCCTCCCCCGTCAAGCCTTCAGCACCGCCCGAGGTTTTGGCATTTATGAAGAAGCACAACATCCAACCAGGTCCATGGGAAGTTTATCTTGGACGTGCCTCGCCTCAAGAATTGGAGGAGTTGGACGCGGTTCTTGATCTCAACACGAAGTATTTCGGCTTTAACAACTGGGATTCGTCCGAGAAAGGAGGCAGGCGAGGTGGTGAGATGTTCTTGCATCATTACACCAAGTCGATCATGCCATGGCTGCTACACGCATCAGTATCTTCTAATTCGAACTCGGGGAAGAGGAAACGCGCCAAAGACTCTTTGGCTTTGCTGCGTGACGCGTTCTTGTGCACGTGGGATCTCGATCCAACAGCTGCACGTGCGGTATCTGATATCGACCACTTCTTACTAGACGACATGTGGAAGAAAATGGAGCATGTCAAGTGTCAGAATCCCTCGGCGTTTGTGTTTGGCAAAGTCAGGCGAGTCAAGACCATCCAGTTTGCTAATAGTCCTGCTACAGATGCGATCGTCAAGTCAGTTGAGGACGAGTCGAAGGTGAAACCCAGTGCACTCGTTGCAGAACTCACCAAAGTATTCAAGCTGGACACCATGGCGCGCGAAATGGTGGCCAAAGTCAAGTCGAAATCAGATTTATGCTATATTGCAAAAGAACTCTGCCATCGTTGCCGCCATCACATGGTGGCGAACCCTTCCGTGCACATGGTCAAGCTCTGCCAAAAGGTCCTTGCAACTAAGAACCCCATGAAAGCCTACTCGTCAGCAATGAAGAGCATGATCTCTCGACAGATGAAGATGTCGTCCATGTTCGACAAGGAGGCAAAGTACGTTCTTCTTTTATTACATGATGGCAACCATAATACTAACATTCGTTTATTTTTTATAAATTTAGGAAAAAGCGAAAGCTGGAGAGCGTGAGCGCGTCATCTTCTCCTGTTACTGAAAGCGAAGCCTCGAGCTCTCCTCATTCTGAGCTTACAGATGCCGAGCTGGCTGCAGTGAAGCGACGGATCCCGAAGCCTCCAAAGCTGCTGTTCAAAAAGGTGGACCTGAAAACTATCACGTATCAGGAGACAAACGATAATGGCACAGTTGGAGTCGCGGTTTCCGGTATCCCCAACGCCGGAAGGGGACTATTTAACCTGTCAGATCACCCGTGGCCGGCGTTTTCTGTTGTCTGTATCTTCGGTGTTCGTCGAATTACCAAGGAAATGCACCATGATGGACTGAACAAGGTAGCACGATGCGGCGAATTGGGCGAGACTTTTGTCGTTGTCAACGGCACTGTACGAGATGTAGACAAGTTCCAGACACAGTATGGCCACCGCTTGATGCCTTTCGACGGGTTGGTGGACGCGGACGGTTCAGTCGGCGGATTTCCGAATGACCGGGTGTACGAATACCCTGCGGATGTCTATTGGGACGCGTCGGGATTCTACAACAACTGCATTCTTGTACCTGGCTGCGTGATTGAGAACCCTCAGGACACGACAAGCCCCATAGTTTTGAACCAGCTGTACATCGTCACGTGGAAGGAGGTTGCAGTGCGCGAGGAGTTTTTCCTGGCATACGGCACGTCCTATTACGAGGACGACGAGAAGACCAGCACCACGAGTGAGGGAAGCAGCAACTAGTTTAGCGAAATAGAAGCAGCGAGGCCTATCAACCTCGCTACCCACCGTAACCTAAGAAGAACGACCCTATAGAACCATCGACCAAGCGCCTGAAGCCTCACAGCCGGACTCTTTGATTTACAGATTGGTTGACTAATGAGCTTTTATTTGATCTTTACATTTACCTTTCTTGATTTGGTAGTATTCTAGTACGAGATGACGCGCTCGTTGAGCTGCAGACGACACACGGGGCACGTGTGCTGGAGGTTCAGCCACACACGCACGCACCCTGCGTGGTAGTTGTGGCCGCACGGCAGACGTAGCGTTTGGTCGTCGGCCAAATCGCCACAGCAGATCGGACACTCGGAGCTGTCGTCACTCGCGTCACCACAGTCTTGACCTGCTGGGCACACGTTCAATGGAGCTGCTATCGGCGAAGTGACTGGATTTTCATGATGGAGCACACGGTCGATAGCGTTGGCTCGTTGGCGTGCGATGTCGAGGAAGTCCTCGAGAATATGTCGTGTCTGCTGCATGAACTCGCATTGGCTGTCGCGTCCTAAGATACTCATCACCAAGTCGTTCACGAATGTCTGGAACGTACTGCATTGGTCGTACTGTGTGTTAGAGCCCCACATTCGTCGCGTACTGATGCTCGGGGCTGTCTTGATAATTCGTAGCAAGTGGCCACAACACGAAAAGTTCTTGCATCCGCTTCCAACTCGACGGATGCTCTTGCGTAGCTGCGCGTGATCAGCGGAGGTCTTGCTGAGCACCCATTTCTGCCTCATGACGCTGTCCGAGACGTACAGCACGAAATACACCAGTGACGAAGATGCCCGTTGATTGAAGAGTCCTGCGCGTGCAATAGGGGTATTGTCCTGCTTTGCTGAGGAGCCCGGGGTCACCACCACTTGAGTGGTAGCTTTGGGCAGATCACTCGAGTGCTTCATGCTGCAGTTGGTCGCAGCGGCGGAATGGCCAACAACGTCTTCCAGCGAGATGAACACCATGATAGTTGCAGTCTCAAGTGTTGCTTTCGCTGCTCCTCAGGCAAATGGCAAAGTGAGGGTGGACTTAGCACCGCCGCGATCCGACCACACCATCAGATGGTTCGTCGGTGGCTGCAACCCACCCAGATGCAACGCTCGCAATGCCACGACCAAGTCGAAGTTGATGCTGAGACAAAGCCAATTTTGAAGATAAAGCCGCTCCACCGGAAAGTTTCCGGTCGCTGATTGGCCAATTCTTTCTGACTAGTAGCTCACCACCTCGAATTCGCGGTGCCACTGGCCGTTCCAGCACAACGTCTGTATGATCCGAGAACTTGCTGTGCAGTGCGCCAACGCAAGAGTTCCCGAAATGGGAGCATGTCGTGGCTCAAAAAGTCGCTGCGATTTGGAGAACTTCGCGACAAAGCCGTCGAGTTGTGGCCGCACTTTATCCACAGCAACATTCAACCAGTGAGCAATTCACAACACTTCAAAGGCGCTACATATTTCAGTTTATTCCAAACTTACGTGCAGTCTTTGCGTCAACCTTGAACATCCAGCAACATTTCTTCTAAGCGCTTGAAATTGCGAGAACATTTCTTCCAGAGGGCGCCTAGCATTAGCATTGCCCCACTGTGTTGACAATGCACACCGAGATGTAACGCTATGAACACAAAGCAACATCGACAGCAAAGGCTAGAAGTGGTGTCTGTAGAATCATCGTCTGCATTACAGTTATCGGGTTTTGTACTTCAACCTTCCCGAGCGTCAGTGCCATCGTCACCTCCGTATTGCTGCTCGAGTTCTGCCAAGACTCGGCGGTTCTCGATATCGCGCAGCTTCTCACGCAGGTCCTCAGGCGTATAGCGGCTATTGAGCGTGCGGTATTTCTTGAGCTGGATGACCCCCACCATCTCGCGCACCACCCAGCGACCGCGTTTAATGGCCTTCTTGATAGCCACAGGGTCCGTCAAGTCGCGATTCTGGAAGAACGCAGCCTTGACCTTCTCTCGCACATGGCTCAGGCCCAGCGGGTAGTCGCGCCCCACGAGTAGGAAGCGCTTGTACAGGTCCCGCACCTTCGGATCCATCATATTTCCCAGGGTGAATAAATAAGGGTGTGATTATCAACCAATCACAAGGCGTCATTCCCAACCACTCGTTAATAGGAGTGTAAGAAGCATGAGCTCCGTTAGCTCTGTGCCTGATGCCGCCACGGCGCTGCTGACGGTAAAGATTGGAGATGTTTCGCGCACGTCCCGCAAGCACTTGACGATCACAACCTTCGGCTTCCTGCTGTCCGAGGGTCTGGACGTGTTCCGTGCCAAGGTGGACACATGCACGGACAAAGCGCTGGAAAACGTCCGAGGCGAGCGCTACGTACGCGAGGACCGAGCGCTCTACATGCGTCCAGGGGCACACTCCAAACAAGCGGAATTGGTGGAGATCACGCCCAGTAACTTCGAAAATCGTGTGGCCAGAAGCTACAGGAACTACCTCAAGCGCAAGGCGGAGGATACGTTTCAGTGCGAGGTCTACGTGTACGTCAAGAAGGTCGAACCGCCGAGGCGTCGACGACTGAAGGAGGAGTCTGAGAGCACTCCAGCGACCGCGTTGCATGCGGAAAGTCAACGAGAGGAGACGGGCGTTGAGCTGGCTGGAACATTAAAGCGGAAGCGCTCGATGGGCTCCGAAGAGGATAATTCCCTGCAGAGTCAGCAACACCAGACTGTGCAAGCACAACAGATTGATCCTGCATACTACCGCCCAGTGAGGATGGTGGTCAATGGAGCTATAGTCCCCGTGCAAGTCAACGTGCAGGACTTACTCGCGTGCTTTGCGGCCTTCCAGCAACATACACCGGTCGGATCCACCAGTACAGAAACCCAAGAGAGTGACGTGACAGGTGCGGGGACAAACGGCTTTCACGGATAAACGCGGGTAACGGTGTAGTCACGAGGAGATGGATAAGCAAACGGAAGGTACCGGACAGATAATGCAGCGGGCATCATTCTATCGTATATATTGGGCGGGTGCGCCCTAGCGCTTGCTTTTCTACAAATGTACTACTTACTACTGCTACTACTTCTCGCGTATGCGTCCATGCTGCTTGTTTTTCTTCTTGTATCTTGTACTGCGCGACTTTAGTCTTGAGCTTTTCACTTCATCTTCATCGTCAGCGCTCCGAACGACAGACGGGAGGCCAAGTCGTGGCAATCCAATTGCGTACTATGCAGCTAAAGCTACATACTTGTTGCGTGTATGTCACAATCCAAAACTCCAGAAATGCAAATCCAAATTCAAAAAACGACAGGCCTTGTGCTCCGGAGGACACAAGCAGAGAGTCCCGTCTTAATACTCCGAAGGTGGCAGGCCCGACGCGTCAAAACTGCTCCAGGACGACCCAGAATCCCGTCGCGGTGGACGTCCAGCTGACGTCGAGCGCTTGTCCTCCATGCTCTTCAAGTAGCGGAACTGGCCAGGAGGTGGTTGCATGTACGGGTTTTGCTGCTGTTGAGCCATGTCGTACTGTTGGTGCTGGAAACCGAACTGTCCACCAGATCCACGAGATGAGTGCTGCAACTGAAGTTGATGTTGAGGCACGAAACTCTGTTGCGGCTGAGCTGGAGGGGGTTGAGGCTGGAACGGGTGGTGCTGCTGAGGAATCGCTGGGGACTGGTTGTGTTGTTGGTATTGTTGCTGGTACTGATGCTGAAGCTGTAGTTGTTTCTCCATCGAGACGGTAGGTGGGGGCGGTACTGGTGACGTCGGGAAATCAGCAAAACCTGAAGCACCGGCCGCTGCAGCTGCGGCTATCTGAGCGGTGTTACTCTCCACCGTGCGTAGGTCGCTTTGTCCGTGTGCAAAGCGACATTCCTCCTTGGTGTAGTTGCAATTGCCCTTTAGGAAATAGTAGCACAGCTCAGTCTTGTAGCTCTGCAGTCTTGGAGTGGCGGAAGGAAGGATCGGTTGATTGCCAGAACCACTGCTAGCGGCAACACCATCGCGTAGATCATTCACACCGTGAGCCATCGGGCAATCGCGGCGTGATTTAGGGCATGTGCCGTTCTCGTAGGCTTGGCAGAGCCGAGTCTTGTAGTTTGGACCATGCTTAGTGCTGCTAGGAGCGCTGCTTGAGCCGCTTGGACGCACCAGATCGCTCTCACCATGAGCAAATGAGCAGGTGCGGCGCGTCTTGTTGCATTTGCCCTGCATGTAGTACATGCAGATCTCCGTCTTCCAGTTGCTTGAGGAGCCTGGAGGAGGTCCGCTCTGACTGCTGCTGCGATGTAGACTAGTCTTACCGTGGCCAACCGAAGATGAGCGAGACGGCGAGGGCGACGCCATCGACGCCAAACTACTGCCGCTCTCACCTCGTCCAGCAGCTCCGAGGACTGGATTAAAGCTCGGGTGATTGTGTAGAATGTGGTCGATCGCTGCAGATTCCTGTCCATCGAAGCGTTGCAAGATCGATTCCAACTCGTCAACTGGAATACCGTCGAAAAGCTCCGACAACATGGACAGTTGCAGTGGTGATACGGCTGGCGATCTCCCACTCTCACTCTGGCTTGGCTCTTTTTGTTCGTCATGCCCGTCTCCTGCTTCAGGTTTATGTTGTTCCACTGTTGGACTAGTCGTAAGCGGAGCAGCGAGTGACAGCGACTCCATGTCGTCTTCCAATGCAGGAACTGGAGGCGGCACTTTGTCCTCACTCAGAGTGTCTTCCGCGAACGGTCTGGCGTGTTTGGGCGTGATTTGAGGCGAGTCCAGGAGTGATGAAGGCAAGAACTGGCCCATGAGTGTGCTGCGGAGTGTCTGTGTGCTGGAAGACGGCGACGGGGGTTCATCATCTGCTCCCTCCTGGTCACGTTCACCTCTCGATGAATAAAAGTTGAAAGCCATGAGGTTCGAGCCCGTTGAGGTGCCACCGGATGCACCCGATCCAGTGGCACCACTCGTTGAGCCAGTAATGGGCTTGTTGGGCGAGCTCCATGGATTGTCGCTTTGTTCCTGTAAAGACGGAGAGTGTGGAGAGCGGCCACCGACCGATCCAGAGTCGTCTCCACTGCGTTTGCGTCGCAGTTCGTTGATTTCGTTCTTGACGTCAATGAGCGCCAGTCGTTCATCTACAAGATCGCGCTTCAGTTTGGTCGATAACGAGCTGAAGAGTGCCAGTCGCTGTTTCGCCAGTCGCTGTTCAACACGCAGCTCGTCCACGACTTGCTGGAGCTCACGCACTTGCAGCCGCGAGGCCTGCAGCTCGCGTAGGATGCGGCGCACGTCGTCACTGACAGCGCCGTCGTCGCCGAGCTCCTTCCCATGCAGCTGCTCGCCAGGTGCTGCAATAGCGGCACCGCCTTTCTCCATCTTCATAGACATAGCCAGTGTTCAGAGACAGCAGATCATATTAGTCAGTCATGCGCGAGTAAGAGCGGAAAGCGCTGGTCTTGGCTCAAGTCGACCAGTTGAGTTAACAACATGTAACATGGCTAACTTAACTAGTCGATGGTCCACCGTTGGTGGGAGCACTAGAAAGTTCAGCGAACGCTAAAGGAAATACACACTTACCCACGCAACTTTGCTAGGCTCGACGCCATACTCACGGCCGATGTCCGACACGACCTACTCGATCGTCACACAACGAATGACAAGATCACACACACATTATTAATCGTCAGTGATTTGAGGCCACTCTGAAAATCTGGAAGGGTCACGTGAAGGCCTCACAGTGGACGGCAGCGGCTAGATGCGGCTCCGCTACGTGGACGACAGCCACCGCTTCTGCTCGTTTGTCCATGCAAAGCTCACACGCTCCGTTTGCGTCAACGCACCTGAACGAGGGACGACTGGAAGGCCTGGCTGATCTCCGTGGCCACGCGACCCAGCAACTCGCCCGTCTCGGGCGGTGTTTGCTGGTCAGAGGAGGCTGGCGTTGCTGTTGGTGCTGCTTCTCCTTCGGACGCGGGCTCGTGCTGTGGCTCGGCCGGAGAGCCCGCTGCAGCTGCCATTGTCAACTGCTGAGTGTTGTCGCGGACAAGTGTCTTGTGACACCGAGTTGCCGATCGAGTTGCTGCTGATGCTGGCTGGAGGTTTTGAGGTTGAGTTGACCTGAAGGCTGCTGGTTGCGCGGACAGGCAGCAAATGCGCGGGTCGGGCCTGGCAGACGCAGCGACAGCAAGCACTCAAGTGGCTCAGTGGCGGAAAGAGGAAGCCACTTGGGTCAGCACGCGACGACGGACGTTCGCTTTTTTGCTCAAGACTCCAAGTCCTGAGCGGAGTAGTGCTGGCAGGTGGCTCTTCTGCTTTTTCCGAGATGCTCGCGTCGGTTGAGCGAGTCAAGCGAGGCGGGCGAAACGGGGCAAGGGCTGGCTGGCAGAGAGGCAAGCAGCGCGAAAAGCGAGCGGTCGGCCCGCTAAATCCGGGCGAGACAACCTGTTCTTGTGCCGCAGTATTCAGTTTTGCTGCACGTAATTTGTCGCGTCCTCACCGCTAATTTTTCGGCACCCAAGCTGGTGACATGCGAGGATAGTGCATCGAGTTTTGCGGGTCTTGCGGTTTCGCAGGCATTTGAACTTACAAACGCCCAGTGCTCCAACCGTATAGCTACATTTTTATCAGTTATGAGAAGGTTATCAGGACCGGATTTTTGGAGGGGGGACCAAATACCAGATCCCAAGCAGCGGCTGGTCAGCCAATCGAAAAGCAACTCCCGCCGGGACGATATTTTTTTACGATATTTTTGGGCGGACATGCAGCGGTGGATTCGAGAAATGTCGCGCTATGCTAATGTTAGCGCGGGAAGCCTTTCGAAGCGCGAGGGGTACCTCTCTTCAACGGCGCTGATATATGGATGCGGCCGATGCTGGCAGTAGCTGAGACGCTCGCGCTGGCCATCCGTTGCTGGTAGTGTGTTCTCGGACACGCGGCTCCAAGCGGATGGTGGTGAGCGTCCAGCTCGCAGTGCTTTGGGGTTGTCAGAGAAGGCGATTCGGGGTTGGTGCCAGATGGCGAGAACACCGACACAAGCGCTGGCAATCCGTCATCGCAACTGTCATAATGCAGCCATTTCAAACAAGAGAGGAGCTCGCGGCGCGAGCGCGCTGAAAATGCCCATGCGTTCGTCTCGAAACCGTAGAACTGCAGGTAGATCGCGCAGGTGTCCACACTTTTTTCGCGAACAGTTTCTGTTTGCCTCAAAATGGATCCATGATTTGGTCTGCAAATGAAAATCCACATAATATGTATCGTTTTTACAAATGTGAATGATGGTCTTTGAAGTGACATTTCTGATACTTCAAGCAAACGCAGCACAATTGCAAATGCAACAATCACTTGCATAATATATTGCATAATATACACTTTGCATAAGACAAGCGAGCTGGCTGCAACGCGCAGCCAAACTCACACAAAATTGTAATTCAGGTCTCACCAACCCTATATTTCAGAAGAAAAGTTGTTTTCATGCTGAAAGGTACATCAATCGCTCAACTAGTCGTGCTTCCAAATAAATAGTCGTGCTATAGTGACCGCACCAAAATGAAAATTTTTGCAAATATCGCCAATTCTAGTGCAACAGACCGCTATTAGACAGATCTCGCCGATACCTTTATCCCAGTATGCTTGAATTGCAACCAGTATATTTCACAAATATGCATTTAAAACCTCTAAATTTTGTGTTTTTCAATCTAAAAATCATGGATCCGACAAATTAGATGTATGTTACCGTAAAGCCCGGATCGAGTGAGACGAACGGATTGAGTGCGACGCGCGTAAGAAAATAAAAAAAAAAAAACATTTTACAAAACCCAATACAATGGTACTTTTTACCACCAAAATGTGCCGGGTTTATTTTTGTACTACCTCCATTCCGAAATAAACGAACGAATCAAAACTGGCGACTAAACAACAATATTTATATCCTCTTGAAACTGACTCCTGTTTAATCAGATAGGTACCATCCGCATTGAGATCTAGAAGCGCGATACGGGCTAGTTTGACTTTCGCGCTAATTTTTAAATCCGAATCCCCTTCACTCCCTCGCCCCACGATGAAGCAAGCCACCGAAGAAAAGCGACAGGCGTTGTGGGAGATGCTGCTCCTGTAAGCAATCGTGGAAAGCTAGACCACGGAGACATCACTTGGATTGCAAACCAGTTTCAATGCGGCCGCAAGGTTGTCTCGCGCATCTGGCACCAAGGACTTCGCTCAATGGGGCCCCGCAGAGCTGACGTGGTGAAATTCAGAGCCAGCGCTCGGGGGAGGAAGCGAGTGGATCGCCATACTCTGCGCCGACGCGTTGCTGAAGTTCCGATAGCCGACCGCAAGAACCAGCAGACACTTCAGCTCGCGACTAACACAAGCTGCTATCTGATCCAGCAGCTTATCAAGGAGGGGTACCTGCGCCGTGCGCTGAAACGAACAAAATCGTTGCTTACTGTTATGCATAAGGAAGCTCGCATGAAGTTCAGTACGGAGCATGTCAGACAAGCCGCAGATGGGAGCCATTCGTTCGACCCCTTGCTCGACGTCGTTCATATCAAGACGAGAAACGGTTTTACATCAAGAAGATCGGACAGAAGGTGTACATCCTGACCGGCAAGGACGATGTCCCGACTGAAGAACCGCCGGTACAGTACGCACACAGCAAGCGTCATTAGATTAAAGTGATGTTCTTGAGCGCTGTCACCCGTCCAAGAGGAGATTGGGATGGTAAGGTCGGCATGCGGCCTATCGTAGAGGAGTACGTAAACAGCGCGCCAGTGTGAATCGTCCTGCAGGAGTAGTGGAGAAAAAGCCTGCCTCGATGACGCGTGAACTATCGCGCAAAATGCTGCTGGAGTACGTTATACCAGCAATCAAGGCCAAATGGCCCCACGCCCAAATGCTACAGCCCATCAAAATCCAACAAGATAATGCCCGCCCCCACGTCGATGTAAATGATCCAGTGGTGGTCGCTGCTGGAACGAGCGGCGGCTGGAACATTCGCCTCGCCAACCAGCCGGCTCAGAGCCCAGAGCTCAACGCGTTGGACGTCGGCTTTTTTACAGCATTCAATCCTTGCAGTCTCAAACAATACCACGGAACGTCGAGCAGCTGATTGATGAAGTGAGCCTGGCATTTGAAGCCACCGCAGCGGATACGCTTGAGAAGACTTTTGTGACGCTCCAGCTAATGATGAAGCACATTATGATTTCCACCTCACCCACTTCAAGAAGGATCGCTTACTAAGAGAGGGCAGATTGCCTCTGTCCATTCCGTGCGAGTCGCAGCTGTACTATGTATGACACTTGCAGCACTTGCGCCACCACCAGCAGTGTATATTCCATCGGACTTAGACTACCTATCACGACCTGTCCTGAGATACTTACCTCTGCACACTTTATAGGCGATAAAAAACGAGGTGAAGCTATGCGCAATTTTTTTTATTCGGTCGTTTACTTCCGAATGCAGGTAGTATTTCATTAGGCAAAGAACTTCTTACGACTGTCTCACTCAATCCGGACTTTACGGTACTCGGAATAGATTTTTAAATGTATACAAAGTCGTGCCTCCGGCCCAAAGAAGCTCTGAAATTTGAAATCCTCTGCCAAACTTTCGCGGCTCTTCCAATCCTGCGGGCTCGTGAATACAACTTCAGTCCTATTTTCTCAAGAGCAAATTGCATTCAGCAATGGCAAAAGCAAGATCGTAGAAGCAAAGGCAAGCTCATCAAAGCACTGCCGCAATCTATAATTTAATCTAGAGGGAATTAAAGAAACGATCGAAGTCTCCAACTTGAAGGTTTCTTGCACGCCAAACCTCAGCTTTTGCGGGAATGAATGGCTTTCACGCGCTAGCTTTTTCCCCAAACAGCTCCATAGAGACGGTTCTAGCACTCACTAGCTTTCGCATCAAATAACTCCGTAGAGGCCGCCCTTGTGCGCGATGCATTCTTGGTGCTGCTGGCAGCTGTCTCAGTTTCCAATTTTGCCTTTCCTCAAGCACGGACAAGCCAAGACAAGATTTCCAGATACAGGGCAGGCATGCACTCCACATCTTCGAGTCAAAGCTTCGGGTTCTCGAGACCGCGTAACAGGGGCATGTGGGAAGCGTTGCCGAGGAATTCGGCGTCAAGGTGACCACAGCAAGGGATTGGGCGCAGCTTTCATGAATAAGAGAGAGAGAGAGAGAGAGAGAGAGAGAGAGAGAGAGAGAGAGAGATGTTGAGTGGTCCAGAGGGCGTCATGATGAAAAATCACCGTCGATACTTCGTGCGGTATTCGGTGGCCGATTGATCGTGTAGATCGCAGCGCTTATTTCCTCTCCACCACCACCATTCCAACTCAAGTGCCACGTAATGTACCATTGACTTGGCCATCTCAACAATGGTTCAATTTATCCTCTCGATAAGTCTGTCTTGCTGGGGGCTGTACGGTGCCGGTGTCAATCCGAAGGCACAGCAGCCGTGCTCCAGTCTGCTGCTATGCATTCGAATTGACACCGGCATCGAGTACATTTCAACCAGGTTTTGTACTCTACAAACTTTCGAAAGACTTGGATCTTCGACGACAGTAAGAACAATAGTGGTAATTCCGGCTAGGCATCTAAAACAACACATATGATTCATACCTGCGTTGCAGGCTGGACCGTTGTTCTACAGAATGAAATTGTTAACACAATAATAGACGATATAATTATACGACAAACTCTTTTTAAACATACATGTACTAGTGATTTCGAACTGCAGGAGAAGCCTTCAATATTTAGCGACGATTGTATACCAAGTCTTAGTCAGCACAACCCATAATGAACATCCTGACTACGTTCTCCGGCCACGAGAAAGCGTGGGCACCCGTTTTGGCTACAGCCGAATAGAAGTTTAACGGATATCGATACTTAAGCCATTAAACTATTTCTAGCTCTCCATTGTCAGCAGCACGTCTTGACGCCAATTTGCTGCAATTTTCTTGGCGGTAGTCATGGAGAAACTCTACAATATTAAAATGCCCCCTTCCTGGCGTACTGCCTATAGCGTTCACCGTTCAGCCTTCATTGCGATGTTGATAAATCCATAACGTTTAACCCTTTCGCGATAAAAGGAGGCAAAATGCCTCCTTTTGATACCGACTATCCTAGATTTGTATACTATACTTTACTAAAGTGGCTCGCGAAAGGGTTAAGTGACCGACCACTGCTGCTTAATCCATACCAAAAATAGTGTAGGCTACGCTAGCGTTAAGTGTAGCCACTCCACGACTTCTAGATGGCCATGCCCTGCAGCCTCATCCATAGCCATAGTTGCAAAACACTCTCGGTGGTTCGCGTGAAGCTATTTAACGATGCAAAGATGCCCATCAGACGCGGCAGCATCCATTGCCCTTGTTGAGCAACCTTCTTAACGATTGTTGTGAAGCCAAATCACCATATCAAAATCACCCCTCGACGCCGCATTATCCATCGCAGCGCTAGTACATCCGTCTCCGCGATTGTTGTGAAGCCAGCGCAACACGAGAAGATTTCCTGTTCTCGCAGCAATAACAATGGCAACAGGTGAGCAGCCCGCCGGATATCTAACGTGTAGCCATTCCACTATTTCTAGCGATCCATACAAAGCAGCAATGTCAATTAAATAACCGCTCCAATTCGTTACAACATCCAGATAAAGCCACCGAACGACAAAGTTGTTCCAGACGATAGCAAGCTGCATTGCAGCGTTAGAACAGCCTCCACGGCGATTTTGAATCAGCCAACGCACGATGTGGATATGTCCCATCCCCGCTGTACTATCCACTGCCTGTCGCGTGCTACCCCCCCCCCCCCCCCCCGAGCGATTATAGTGCAGCCAATGAACAACAACTAAATGGACAGCTTCTGCAGCCACATCCATTGTTTCTGGCCTAAATGCACCATTGTTAGGGTCAAGACATACGATAATTTCAAGATGACCTGCTCTTTCTGCGCTTGCTGCGCATTCGGACGGGAAAATTCGAGAGTGACGCGCAAGAAGCCTGAGATTTTCTAGATTGCCCTGCGCAAGCTTGGGTCAAAGCGCGGGGAAAATTAGTGTGTAATAGTACCCATCGCAGCACCGCAGGTGATCTACCAGAAGTGCACCAAAGCATCCCGCCCGAAGACACACATTATCGCTAAGCCACTCCAAGGTGTTAATTTGACCAGCGCGACTTTCCGTTGTCCCCCAACAAGCGATGTAGCCATTTCCGTAAATCCAACCCACGAGAGTTGTACAGCCATCCTCTGTCGCTACTTCGATTGTCCTTGTGATAACGAAATCTGAGAAACAACATATGAGGTGCTGCTGCGCGAGAGAAATTTCATGAGTACGATTCAGTCAACAAGAGCCGAATTATAATCCCGACATCGCTGAAAGCGTATTGGCATACTGGAACATTCGGTATGTGTAACTCTCTCTATAATCCGTCTACATCGCAGGTATATAGCTCAAACAAGCACGGCGTTGTCAGTAGGATGTATAACGAGTTGATGATAATCTCAGCAAATTCTTCAGTATTCGGAAATGAGGATCTTTGAATAACAACACGAACACACATAAGCGGTTTCATCTTAGCTCGTTGAATCCGAAAATGAAATGCTGTTTGGTATATAGTCGGGGCTAGTGGTACGTCGTCAAGCAAATTGATGGTGGAGAAATTGTTTTCACCGCTAGATTGATGCGTTTACACCGCATACGGAACTGGTCACGCAAGTAACGAATGCAATCCATAAGGATCAACAATGTGGTCCATTCAGATCTATCAGAAGATTTGTGTATCTGTCAGTCTACCAGTAATCAATCGATCTATCCGGTGGCCGAGTATGCAGTGATGAGCTTCGTATACATCGAAAACTATAAAGGTTGCCACTTCTCACTTTATACGTTACATCCTGCAGATATGCTTAACCGATGCTGATCCTGACAGACTGTATTGAAGACTCGGATGCTAAATGCTTACTAGTGACGAGCGCAGTATTTGACAATCCAATGCAACTTTAAATTAAAGTGTTGTTATCATTTGATAAATGCAAGTGGGCGAGAGAGTACGCCTGGTAGATTTTAACGACGGTCTGATCTTTGGGCTTGCTGAGCGTTACCCAATGACAGCAAAACTGAATTCGCGTATATTGGCAAAAACAAAAGCGGTGTGAGTCCACCGCTACCAACACAGAGTTTGAGCCGATGAAAGTATACCGATTCACAAGTAGCAGCATACTAAGCGGCACTTTCGGCCGAGCGTGAGTGGGAGGGGTCAATAAAAATTCTCGACCCGAAACCAACAGAAACAGATCGTAAGCCGTTGTAAGCCGAAAGTTTCCCTCCCAGTAGAAGCATGACCCTCTTTTCGTAGTGGCCGACGTCTTCTTGACCCATTCCGTGCATACAATCTGAGTCCCCGAGTCATCAACTACTGTTTGAGTAAAGGTTTGTCCTTGGATGAAGTCAGTTTTTTTTTTTTGATGCGCCAATACCCAGCGCAACCCCAATGATATTAACTATCGACTGAGATGCCAAGTCTAAAAGATCTACAACGCGGCAAAATTCAATATTTGGCGAAGTGCAAATGTTCTGGTCGCCATGCAGCATTCGTATATCTGAGTTGGCATTGAATACGAGCTTGAATTTATCATAGCGATGGTTTTATTATTAAAGTCACCCTCTGTGGCCTCCAGAAGAGTTCCAGCAAGTGCTTATTGGTCCGAACCCCTTTTTATTACAGGTGGTCATGTTCTACTTAGTTCCTGGGAATTAGGTGAAGACATCGGAGTATTCGAAATGACAAAGTTTCAGGATAGTCGATCTTTTGGTGCAAAATCGCAAATGAGCTGCAAGGTGTTTAATACTAGAAACTATCTGAAGAACTGCCGATTGGTGTTAAGCGACAAGGGTTTGATGCAGTCAGTCAGCCAATCAGTTACCAAGTGAAAACATACTCTTGATGTCTAACTCCGAGCTGGCAGCAGTTTTCAGGTAATACCAGTGTCAGTATTTGGAATCAATTAACCCTTTCGCGAACGGGTACTTTTGACCTGGCTATATTATAGTATAGAAGGTCAAGTCATTAGGCCATCAAAGGGGGCATTTTGCCCCCTTTCACAAACTAC